TGAAGCTCAGTAGGCTCTGACATGACTCCGTATTACTAGCAGTGCATGCTGTAAATGACGAAAGTGAGGCTTCCCACCTGTTATCTAGGCGTCTCATCACACAGCAGAAGCAAAAGAATGTTACATCACTTTCGCTTTCAAACAGAATACATGTGGTCACTTTCACACCTGCAAATCAAGTAGTGTTTCCATTTTTTGTCTAACCCCTGTACATCAAATAAAAAATAAAGTTTAGAAAAAAGCATAAATGCTGTAATTAAACCATTTTTTTACTTTTGCCTGCACTTTTTTTTTTAAACTTGCCAACAGGGTCTTTTTAAAAAACAGGGCTTTTAGCATTTTTCTATACAATGACTGGACAAAATAATGCTAAAGTAATCCTGTGATGACACTGACAGCAAAACTAAAACTGCCATGGCTAGTCCCCTCCTGAAAATGCTAGTTTCTTCTTGGCCGTTATTCAGAAAGTATGAAAAAGGTAGAGAGTTAGAAGAAGCATGTGGATCAGTAAATTCAAAGAAACATCAGGAGTCTTTTGCCACATATACTAAGTCAGGGAATCAAAAGCATGGCAGCATTTTCAGAAGCAGGTCACAAATGACATGTTTCTGTCATGACAGGTTTCCTTTGAACAGTACACTCCACCAGAAACTAAAAATCAAAGTGGGATTCCAGGTTACACACAACTAGGCTTAAAAATGTCCAAAAAAACACCTATGCTGACTAACCGGGGTAAGAAAAATGTATGTAATTACCCATTTCCAGCCTGCTCCAGTCATGCAATTTCCTGTGTCAGCCAGCAGCGGCCACAGGGGAGAGGAGAAAATGCTTGACAACAGCTGGTTATGCCTGGAAGTGCAACCTCACCCTATGGCCCAGCTGTTGTCGGCATTCCCTCCTCTCCCCTGCAGTCATCACTGACTGACACAGGAATATTGAGATAGCTCTTAAGGAGTACCTATCAACAAACTCCACCCTGGACATTTCTCCCCTACTTTTATGGGAGGCCCACAAACCAGTGCTCAGAGGGTTCTTTATTAGCAAATGGTCTTTCCTAAATAAAGAAAAGCGTCAACTGCGTTCCCGCCTTGAGGCAGCTTACACTCAGTCACACCAGGCTTGCCAAACCACCCCATTGCTCAGCAATCGAAAGGCCTTGGAGCAGTCTTGATTGGAACTAAATCTCTCACAGATCAAGCGGAACTATCTCTCCATAGATCACGACCCAAGTCCTATACTAAAGCAAACAAACCTGACACGTTCCCAGCCCTCATGCTCCATAGACTAGATCAAGTTTCTAAACAGATTCGCTTACGTGTGTCCCAGGGCGGTTTCACTAGCAATCCAGTATGCATATTACAAGTGTTCCGCAAACACTTGTCTCAGCTGTACTCCCCAACAGAACCCTTTGGCCAAGCTCGCGCTGAAACCCTCTTGGCTCACTTGACTTTCGAAACGATCTGGCCAACAACTGGAAACCCTGGAGAAACCAATCACACCTGCTGAAACCCTGATAGCCATCAAGGCCTTGAAAATACGAAAATGCCCAGGCCCAGACGGCTTCTCCATGATACCAAAACCTAACTCAGATGACTCGGTCTGGTAAAATTCTAGGCCTATTTCTCTCCTCAATATTGATATTAATCTCCTAGCAAAAATCCTTTCCACCTGCCTTAACCCATTTATAGGGCTCGTAGTCCACAGTGATCAAGTAGGCTTTATCCCTTCACACCAAGCGGGGGGACAATGTCAGACACGCAGTCCTTCTTTCGCACTTGGCTTGTACTCCAACATCCCCACATGCTACCTTTCTTTGGACATTAGGAAGGCCTTTGACATGGTCTCATGACCTTACCTTGATTTCATCCTATATCGTTAGGGTTTTGGGACTCATTTCCTTTCATGGATCTCCTCCTTGTACTGTGAGCCATATGCCTGGGTTCGATATCTAGGACACAAGTTGGCCTCATTTCCCTTCCTGTGAGACACCCGCCAAGGCTGCCCTTTCTCACCATTGCTCTTCACCCTAGCCATTGAACCTTTGACCCTCCTGATCAGAGCTGACCCTGATATCCGTGGACTTGAATTTGGAGGCACCCACCATAAGCTTTGCCCCTTTTGCCGACGACATGCTCCTCTTCCTCACGTCCCCCGACTTTACTTGATTTCTTCAGGACTTCGGATGCATTTCTGGCCTCTATGTTAACCCTCAGGAGTAGATAGCTCGGAATATCTCCCTACCTCCTCAAGAACTGGCTCGTTCGCAGCAAGTGCTCCCGTTCAACTGGTCCCAACAATCCATTCCTTATCTAGGCATTAAATTGACAGCCAGCCCATCGGACCTTTATTCGGCCAGCTACCTACCAATACTAACCCAACTATCAAGCCTCATGACCAAGTGGTCCCCCCCCCCCCCCACTGGCCTGAATGGCCATTTTCACTACAGTGAACCTGCCTATTCTCCCTAAACCACTATATTTGTTCAGAGTCCTACCCATTCCAGTGCAAATCACATTTCCTCCGCATTTTGCAGCGACAAGCCTACTTGTATATCAGTCCATGTATACCTCGCTCTACCGTACATAGATCTAAGTTTATGGGAGGCCTAGGTCTCCCAGATTTTACAAAGCTTAACACCTTGCACAACTGCCAAAGTACCATGCGACTCACGAAATCCCCCAATGGGTTATCCCTGAATCAGTCGACTGCAACCCACTCTGTCGCTAACCTTCTTTGGCTTAGGCCCCCCAATCGTCACAATGAGATGTAATTGGTTTACAACGAGTCTGTCTCCCTTTGGAGTACAGACTAAAATTCCATAATTCCCTTCAGTCTCCACATAATCTCTTAATCTCGTACCTCCAGAATCCAGCCTTTCCTCCGGCCTGATCCTCTCCACGCTCCTTCACACACTGGTCCTCGGCTAATCTGCTTCGCGCCCATCACTTTATGACCTAGCTATAGGGGTTTCAAATCCTTCCCATCTCTCTATGAGTCGCACTCTATTCCGGCATCAGAGGTCTTTAGATATCTCCAGTTGAAGCATTTTTACGCCCTGCTAGCTGTTCAATCCCATTTGGCCTGTACCGTGACCTTTTTGAATGCTTTTGCTACAAGAACTCCCATAGACCCGGCCTTATTTCTGCACTCTATAACCTCCTCACTACTCCTGAGTCTCTGCCAAACCTTACTTATGTTGCTAAGTGGGAGAAAGATCTTGGACACCAGCTGAGCCCTATGGATTGGGATCACATTTGGCCGCTACCAAATCCTCCTCCCAGAATGTGGTTCCAGTGAGGATTGCTAAATATACCCCTAATTATCCTCCGGATTGTTTTCGGGGCTGTGCGATGGTAGGAACATACTTTCATACATGGTGGTCTTGCCTGGTTACTCAAGCTTTTTGGGCCAAATTCTTTCATATGCTGTCCTTGCTTTTTGCAAAACAATTATCACCGGACCTGACCACAGCCTTGTTAAATCTTCAACCCCCCTCCATATCCAAACCTCAATTCAAACTGCTCTTGCAAATCACTACAGCTGCTAAACAAATTATGGCCAAAATCATGGAAGTCCCCCTCTGTGTATATTAGCAGTTAGGAATAAGGTAACGCAAGCAATGATTCATGCCAAAGTGGAAGCCACCATTGTAGACTCAGTTCCCAAGTATTTGAAGATATGGACCCCCTGGGAGGAACACTTTCTCCCACCGAATCTTGATGATTCGTTGCTCCTTCCCTAACACCCCCCTAGCCGCATGTACGGTGGAGCTGTGGGCTAATCCACACCCTAGTACGGTCCCAAGATTACCTTCTCTCTCCTGGAAGTCAAATGTCCCTTGCCACCCCCGCCCACTTGGTCTCCTCTTTTTCCTCTTCTCCCTTCCTACCTAATCATGTCTTTGCTTTCTTCTTGTCTTACATGGAACCTATCTGTAGCTTTCGATATTTAGACCATAATTTTGGTTTACCTCCCCTTACACTGTATTATACCCTATTGTTTCCGAACGGTTCCCAGATGTATGTTTTTGTATGATATTCTCCTTCAAGCCTTGGGGCAACCTGTGCCCCCCGGTTTTTTTTTTTCTGTAAATACATTTGAATATTCTACATTTGTCTTTGGCTTGAAAATTCAGTAAAAATTTTGAACAAGAAAAACTCCCTTTAAATTTAATTATGTACACTAAATGTCTTTTGAAATACAACTAGCATACATAGTTAAAATCAGTCTTTGTAGATTAGCTTTCTGTCACCAGCAATGTGATTGTGGGTGGGATGACCAACAAGATATTGAATTGCAGTGATGGGTGGACCCACAAGATGTCTGTCTAGCACTGTTAAGATGTATACAAATCTATAAAGCAGAAGGATAACCTGATCAGTCTGCTGCTGCTCATTCATTGCAAAGAACACAACCTGCCCCAGGATGCTGTTTGAACAATGGAAAGAGTTAATCCCTGGCGGGTCACAAAAGTGGCTGAACCGACTCACATTTTTCAGGTTAAACAGTAACTATATGTATTTCATTGATATATATGTGCAGTGGCTTAAGTTCTGCTTTAAGTATACTATGCGACTTTGCTTTTGCTTAATCTATGGCAGTAATAATAGCAATTCTAAATAAATACCCTAAAGTAGAAAACACAAGTCAGACTGAAGTGTCAAGTCAGCATTTAATTGTAACAGTCCTTTCCAGAAATATATGGAAAAAAAAAAACACAAACACAAAAAAAGGACAGCAGACATACACGACTCTCCACACAGGTTTACATTCAGTGTTACTGACTGCAGTTCCAGTAACACAAGTGGCTTCACCAATCAAGAACTAAAATTAAAATAGGATTGGCTTGACAGCTCTTAGTTGGAAATGAAACAGCAGTTTGTAAAAAAAAATATATATATTGCTTTTCTATGATAATGCATTGACGTCAAAGTACAAAGTGCATAGCAAAAATATGATGATCTCACCACAGGCTGCAGCACATTAAGCAAGTATTAAGTTCAGAAAAAATAAATTTGCTCAAAGGCAGAGATATTTCCAGTGTATGTTGGGCAGTAATTATATATTAATGGGTAAGCGGTTTCTGCTTCCTTGGAGTATTGGTGCAGATTTTTTCTAGCTGTAAGAAGAAAATACATACCAATTAGTGCATCAAATTATTTATAGAAAACACAAAAATTTATTTAAAGGTCTTTACCAGAGGAGTCTAAGGTACATTTATTAACAGGGGTCAAATTCTGGTACACATTCCCACTGGCCTAAAAAACCTAATTTGCAGGTCTTCCACAGGAATCAATGGGGAATCTTCAATAAAATCAATGATTCTCCATTTGAAAACAGCAAATGCTTAAAGTGGAAGTTTAGATAAATAATACAAGTGGGAGATCAGGCAGAAATGTTAATGCAGAAGCGACATGCTATGGGGTTGATTTACTAAAACTGGAGTGTAAAATCTGGTGCAGCTCTGCATAGAAACCAATGAGATTCCAGGTTTTTTGGTCAAAGCTTAATTGAGCAAGCTGTAAGAAGCCGATCGGCTACTATGTACAGCTGGACCAGATTTCGCACTCTCCACTTTTAGAAAATCAACCCCTTTGTCTCTTTAGCACTAAACTTACCTATGTGTCTGTGGGATTGACGTCATGTCAGCTCGGCCAATAAGAATGACTGGTGCTTTATACCAAAAAGCTGGCCACTAAAAGGAGGTCAGAGGCCAGGACGTTGCAGCGCTGGATTCAAGGTGAGAATAGTTTCGTTTTAAAAAAAAGTACCCCATCAAGAATAAAATGTATTTTTAAAAATCAGGGGATTAATACAAATTGATTGTAGTATAAAAACACAGAACTCCTATACTGAAAACTATCACAGCATGTCAGCCAGAAGTAATAGCGGCTGGGACAAAACTATAACACTGCCAGGGAGCTTGGTTATGTTTTAAGGCCCATACAGAAAGGTGCGGAGACCTGTCCTCCTAGTCAATATTTGCTGCATGTGCATCCACCTCAGAACTGAACGTAGGTAGCCCACAGAAATGGATGCAGATGCATTGGCTGCACAGACGCAGCTGCAGGTCCAAATTTTTCGTGCGGGCAGAAGTAGGTGAACAGATGCAAATGCACAGTGTCAAGTGTTCAGATCCATGCACCTGCCTCTGCCCAAATGTCAGAAGCAAATCAACATGAAGGATGGTTCTCAGTGCCCATCTGAAGGAGTCCCAATTCATATAGTTTAAATGTTTTTTAAAATACTACAGATAAAGCCTAGGTACTAAAGTCTTTGTGCTAAACATATATAGAAAATCTGATCTCTAAGTGTTCTTTTTCCCTGATAAATTTACCAGCTACATCCAATTCCAACATTATCTGGCAGAGTCCTGTAACGTGTGGGAAAATGCATGGGGTAACAAGCTGTCACTCTATTCAGAGACTTTCATATTAGCTAGAAAATCTCTAAATTATCAGGATCATTTCCTAGAACTGGGAACAACCCCTTCACAAAACGTGTCCTCCACATCCGAGTGTTGGCCAAGTTTTGAAGAAATGTTGCAAGTCATGATCTTTGAAATGACTGGCAGTTTTTCCTGCAACTTGTTATTCTCTATTAATGAAAGCCTGACATTGTCTTATATTTTCATAAGAGACAGATTTAAGAACTGCTCATCATAATCAGGTTATGAATGAGTTAATGATAGAACAAGCTTCAGAAAGGCTGATTATTGCTCACACACATTTTCTATCAAGCCATGTTTAGCAGTGACAGGGAGTTCTTCTACCACCTGTTGTTCCATGTAGCCACCTGTTGATGTATGGGCTCTTCAAAAGGAAGTGTTGTTGAAATGTGGCCACACACAGAGCACTAACACTGTTAAATCTGTTGACAAATGTTTCTCATTCTAAAAACACAAAGATTTGGATTGTACCAACTGACATTTAGAATTTTGATACAATTGTGCATCAAAGGAAAATATCTTCTACCCATCCAATCAGTATTTAAAAGTTGAACTTTTAAAGGATAAGTTCACCCTTGGAACATGTTCCACCCATGTTCCCATAGCCGTGGCCACGCCCGACGCGCCCCCCCCCCCCCCCCCAGCTCTGACAGATAGTACAGGAGAGGGGGGCGTCATGTCGACTTTGGTACGGGGAGGGAATATATATATTCCCCCCGTACCAAAGATCAACCCGATGACACCGCCCCCCCCCCCCACACGCATGAGTGAGATAGATACACACACACTTTTTTTTTTATTATTATTTAACCGCTGCAGGGAATAGCACACTTTGATTCAGGTAACGGGGACACCCTGAAGGTTGGAGTTGTAAAATGTGACCATATTTCATGTTACACCACAAATATGGGTGTAACATGAAATATTGTCAAAAAAGTGGCAATTTTATTTTCTTCAGCCACGGGTAGTCTGTGTTAATGGGTAAATCCCTCTTGTGGAACTGCTGCGTTCTTCCGGTGGGGAGGCTTCCCTGCTGGGAGAACACAGCGGTTCCTGCAGCTGCTGGCAATAATCACATGTAAAATTGAGACATGCTGGTCATACTAAAATCGACCAAAGGATCACTTTGAGCACAATCAGCCTGCCCATAGAAGGTTTGAATCTTGGCCTGTCCCGCTGAACCGGCTGAGATTCTACCAATAGCCTCTTCATCTGCGGGGCACAACTGGAACTAGGTACTGCTGCATGAATTGCTGATATTCCCTTAGTTCTAAACAATTATATTTAATTTAATGTGAAGTTGTTACCTTCATTAACAAAAAAATCAGCCATGTAAAAAGCGACTTGTATGGCTTCAGCAGTATGAGAAATAACAGAAGCTTTCTTCCACTCAAATGGATTCTTTTCTGGGTGCCACTGAACGCCATAAAATGGGTAATCATATGCTGGAAAATACATAATACAAGCTGTCAGAACAGGAAACACTCACAAGAATTGTGTTCATGCTTCTACAGACCAGCAGAGGTTACATTTACTGCAACAGAGTGAAATGATTTGATTTTAACCAAAACCTTTATTACTATTAGGATGTTGGCCTTATCCAACTGTCACCTCAATTCAGACAGCTGTCCTTGTGGCATACACATTTCATCTACATACAAAAGAAATAGGTTTCTATAACTTGCCTTTGGAGAGAATCCCCTTGCGCTCCAAAATGCCACTGAAAGATTCAACATGAGATCAAGACCCTGTTTTCTGTTCAAAACAGCCATCAGCAGACACATAGGGGTTTATTTACTAAAGCTGGTTCACTCAGACTCTCATTGACTTCTAAATGGAAACCAATCAGCTTCCAGGTTTTATTGCTAGAGCTTAATTGAACAAGCTGAGGTTAGAAGCTGATTGGATACCAGGCACAGCTGCACCAGATTCTGAGTGAACCAGCTTTAGTAAATCCCCCCCATATAGTCTGTCTCACAAGGAATCTACCAGTTCATAAGCTTGATATGGATAATGAAGGTTGTAAGGGCTGGTTTACACTTACAAATGCTCTTTGAAAAGCGGTCCTCCATGGATCGTTCTTCAGAGAACGATGGAGGTGCAGCTGACTGGTATTAAGGAGGGATACTGCCACCTCCTGAATGCCTTTTTTTATGTTGATAGCGGAATGGGGTATTTGAATGGCAAAGCCTGAGCAAAAGCCTAGTGTTTGGCTCACAGTTGTGGACCTAATCACTTGAATAGGTCATGTTTGGTGGCAATACTACCTCCATAGTAACAACTTAACAAATGTAATAAACCTACCTCAGTCTATCTGAAACAAAAGCAATGGTTTTGGATGGAATTGTACTGTGTAAACTTCTCATCTGAACAAATGAAGATTTACAAGTATTTTGGAGCTTCCCAATTGTCCATCTCTACTGTGGAGGACAGTCTGATACAGACATATAAAACAGTGCTAACTAAATGCCACATGTGTGACACAGAAGAGGTTATCCTCTACTTCTCCCTGTGCTAAACACACAAAACACAAGGATATGTTCTATATTGAAACCTCAACATAGGGTGAGAAGTAAAAACATAAAATTGTACTAAAAGGAAATTGAACTCTTTTGGGAGATCTAATTAAAAAAAAAAATCACAAGATCTTCATCTTAAAGCCTTGTTTACAGAACAAATCTTCCCCTTGAGATCCTCCCATTTGTGACAGTCATTCTGGCATTCCAAATTTAGGGATGTAACATCTCATATCAAAAATTGCATGCAATATAAGTAGCCTTTTTTAGTTTAGTTTTAACAAAGCTGAAATCTCACTTTGTTACAAAGTGTATCCTCCACATTTTCTAAATGCTTTCTATACTTGGGTGCCTACAAGTTTTTCTCTGATTCAGCTGTCCTGTGCTTAAACCTTGAAGAAGAACTCAAAAGCAGATATAAAAAAAAAAAAAGAAAGAAAAAAAAAAAGAAGAAGCAGTCGGACACGGTTTATAAATTACATTTGCTCAGACACAATAGAACTATACAAATATTGTTACTTTTATATCATTCTGTTCATTCATCTGCAGATCAAAGGGATGAACTTTTTCTGCAGATGTCTGTTAAAAGCAACCTGACAAGTGAAAAAAGCAGGAAGGACCAAACACACACACACAATTCCCAGCATAGCTAGAGAACTGACCCAGCTTTGCCATCATGCCTAGTGTGGTCAGTTTTTAATAGGAAAGCAGAGGGACTGACAGAAACACCAGGAATTTCATGCAAAGAAAGCAGAATATTTAACAGACATAAAAGGAGTAAGCAAAAGAAGTTAATCATTGGATTTTACAAACACTTTCATAAAGCTTTGTACAAACACGCTACGTAATGTTATCCGTGCATTCTACAATGAGTACATATGCAAAACTATAGATATAGCACTGAGACAAGACACAGATAGGGAGAAAATGACATACTGTGAGGTTAATACACCAAACACAATGTGCGATATTAATGTCACGTGACCATTTTCTATGAAATACCACGTTAGAATTAAAGAGCCAACTCATTAAAATACTGAATTTATGATAAATGCAGCAAAAATCGGCAAATATTGCATAAACACCGATTCTAATGGCAGAAGATTTCTCCTTCTTGCATTCTATGCATGAAGGTAGAAAACATTCACATAATCTTCATTTGGTGGAGCTTGTAAGAAAAAAAAATGTGATAAAAAAAAAAAAAAAAATCTAAATCAAAATTTGGTCATAAATTTAGGCCAAAATGTATTCCGCTACATGTCTTTGCCAAAAAAAAAAAAAACACTACTAATGGCACTGGGCAGGAAGGGATTACCATGAGAAGCGATCAAAGGGTTAACTGTGTGCTATTTCACTATGTGCTGTGTCTGTGCGCTTCAATGTAAGCACACTGCTTTGCATGGCTGTGCACAGCCATCCAAAGCAGTGTGCACGAGCTGACATGGAGAACGGTTGTGTTTACAAACAGTTCTCCTTCCCTTCCAACGGGCATACCCGCCAAATCGTCGGCTGGGACCCGGTGACTGACAGCCATGGCCACGAATGGCAGCATGGTTAGAGCTTGCGCCCCCTACCCGGAATTCCAAAATAACACACACACACACACACACACACACACACACACACACACACACACACACACAGGGAGGTTGGGAAGTGGTTAAAGTCTTAAATATCCTGTACACTTCCTTTTCCCAGTATGTTAGGAGTTTTCCTGGTGATAAAGCTGCGTTATGTGCCCATGACACTTTACCATTTTGGGGGGACCTCCTCCTCTTTAGTTGCTGCCGTGTCCCTTATTTTTACATATGGTTCTTATTCTGGCTTCAATATACACTGGGATAAATCAGTTTTACTATCATTTGATTCTTTATCAGATGACTTGCCCTCTACTGCAGCACTATCGGTTTCTTCATTTAAATATTTAGGGGTTATAGTCACTCCTCAAATAGTTTGACATCCACTTTTGTCATTTCCCCCCATAATCAAAGAACCACTGAATTCACAGTTTTTGGCTTCACATTTGATTCCTTTATTTTTTAAATTTGTGGTGACACATAAGAGTTTGATTCCTAATTTAAAGCAGAACTCCATGTACATTTTTATTTTCCTATGCAGTGGGGCTGTGCCTGCATGGCTAACCTGCTTGTTTTGTCCAGGGGTTTAGGGAAGAGCTATACTTACCCTGTCCTCCGATCCTCCAGAAAATGGCGCTCCCCCACGTCCAGCGGTGGACTGTTTCTGCCATCCTCATGCCTGGAACCGGTCTATGGGTGTGATGACATCAGGAATAGTCCATATCACAACATATAAATATTTAAGACATTTGTTAAATAAAAGAATGTTTTTAGGGAACGGACTACTTTTGAAATAAATACCACAAAGTTATTTTAATGCAAAAATTCATGCCGTGTTTAACCCTTCTCTTCCATAATACAGAAAGTATAGTATAAGTCTCACCTTCCATAGTGGATACAAATTCCAAAATGCCATCTGAGTTTGTAGACAGAACATTATAGAATTTCCCTAGTTTCTCATTTGCTGTATAATTCTAGAAAAAAAAAAAAAAAAAAAAAAAAAAAAAAAAACATAAACATAGGAGAATATATAAAATATAAAAATAGTTGCCTGTTGGATTCTTTACACTATCAGTAAGTTTACAATAATCACAAAAACGCAGAGTTTGTCATGGAGCTTTACAGGGAATAATTTATTAGAAATGGATTAAAGTGTATGTCGAGTATTTTGCTTGGACAGAGAGTAAGCACTAGGATTTTTACTTCTTTCATGGTAGAAATTTCCCCGCTTTTCCTGTTCGGCTGACAATAGTTTACTAGACAGGAAGTGAGGGGATATCTTAAACTAAACGGCAACACAGAGAAAGGGGGGGGGGGGGGGGGGGAGAGGTGTTTTACCCTGATGCATACTGCTGCGACTTCAGGTACAACATGCAATTTACAAATCACATCTGAAGTGGCATCCAATGTATTTTTATAAAACGGTGTTAATAGTGTGATTTGAAAAATAGTTCCTACGTTACATTTTTACCACTTCAGTGTGATTTAACTCTCAGACTAAGGTAAATGGCACTGAAATTACATCTGTGTCTATATCAGTGCTACTTTAAAGTCGCTCTTTTAATGGGACCAAATCATACCAATTTGAAATTGCATTCAGTGTGAACCAGGGCTTAGTAGTAGTAGGAAGGTTAGAACCCCTGCTAGATTTTTATTTCTGTGTCCCAGTTGCATCTTTATGCAAATATTCCTCTATTCCTTGGCTGGCTACACATTACAGCCACATAGTGGAAAGGGCCTAAACAATCCATTCAACTTCTATCCAGTCAGATAGGCCCACACACGGCAGAGACGATGGTACAAAAATGATTGTACATTTGGATTGTAATGTGTGTGAACAGCTTTAAGTATAGTTTGTAATTCAGCGTACATATAATAGGAAAATAACGTTTAAGTTCAGGTCGAGGACAAGCAGCACTTATGAACCCAGAGATAACCAGATGACTTAAGAAACTGAGCCTTAGTATACATGGTTTTTTTTTTTCCCCTTTTTAAAAGGCTTTGCCCACCTGCAGAGACAGGCTCCAGGAATGAAAATTTGCAGTTATGGCCTTCTTTGACAGAGCTTCATAGAGCGATGGGGGCATTTTCTGGAACAATTTGCTGCCTAATGCACCTACAATTTGAAGACATTACAGCAGACAGTGAATCATTTGTATTACAGTCTAAGAAAGATCAAATAAAGTTAGAATACACAAAAAAAAAAAAAAAAAGAAAAAAAAGTACATTGCCACAAATGCAAAAATCAATATACGTGCATTTAACATTTTCTGAAAGTTATTGACCTGTAAAATCTTCCCTTGTGTAGACATTCAAAAGCCCTAATACTGCTGCAGGGTGCCACCATGTCTATATTATTTTCTCTTCACCGCTCCCCCCAGCAGCTACAAAAAAAAAGGTTATGTAAAAAGGGGAGAGGGGAGGGGGACAGTGAGAAGCTGGGCCAGCACAGACAATAAATTAGATACTCCCAGAAGAGGAGAGGGCTATGATGTGCAAGGAGTGAACGGGCTGTAATAGGAAATGGACTCTTCCTGGAGTAGTCAACCCAACCTAATGCTTCAAAGTAACCCTTAAAATCCACCCGGTTGTCTCTAATCCGTTACTTCCAAGTTTACCCCAGCTTTTAAAATGCATATACAGTATAGCCAAAACTTTTCTTTACATTTAGGATAGGGATGCTAAGGGTTAAAGACATCAGTCAGTTTATTTTTAGCTATTTGTCACCCCTTGGGGAGGTTTCCCTTTTACACCCGTCTTAAAAACTCAACTGGTAGCACAAGAAAATTGCTACAAATTTGCCATCACTGGAACAAGTGTTCCCAATGAAATATTACCGCTTCCCTCTTGGTCTGATGACAACACTCATTCGCACCCCTGCAGTCTCGTGATTGTGCCAATGTGTGTTAAGAGTCACATTAAGGCTTGCTATTCATTTGAAAGGGCTGGCATTGAAAGGGATATACAAAAAACACATTTTGCTATGAGAACACTTGAAACCCAAAATCCATGGAATGATGAGAGAAGTCACAAACCCCTTTGAAGTTCAATAAACTTGACAGACACTTTCATCTCACAGCTCCACAGGCTCTTAACCAGTATAGTACAAAATCTAAGTGCTAGCTCTGTGTATAATGAATGCTTTCAGGTTGCAGTTTTTGCAGAAAAAAAAAAAAAAAGTGACATGGCTGATTACAAAAAGGTGGAATCTTTACAAAAAGGGTGTCACCATGGTTGTCATGGTCATTGTAAGAAATTAAAACCGCATGTAAATCAAGTTGTAAAAAACATTTTTTTTTTAGGTAAAGATTTAATTTCTTGTATGTGAATGGCTCACTGCAGCAAGTCGTGTGATAGGGGCAGCACAATGGTTGAATGATTAGCACTTCCGCCTGGCAGTACTAGGGTCATAGGTTCGAATACCAACCACAGCACCACCGCGCCTGGAGTTTGCATGTTCTCCCTGTGCCTGCGTGGGTTTCCTCTGGGTACTCCAGTTTCATCCCCACACTCCAAAGACATGCCAACCCATGGGAGGGGTGTGGAATGACTTGCATGCCTAGATCTACAGGGCAGAAAATCTAACAAAAATCTTTACAGTATATACAGGTAAAGTGATACATTTTGCAAAAAGGATCCTCTGGGTAACAGGGTAACTTTTTTTTTCTTTGAGCTTTCCTTTAGGTTGTTCAAGATAGTAGAGGCACACTTCTATAAACTACTTACTTTCAGTGAAGTTTAGAGCCAATGAAATGCTATCTGTATCAGTTCGTGTTAAGAGAAGTTGCCCACTTGTTAGAACTGTCATTTCTTCAAATCCTAAACACGTTCCCCAAAACGGAAAATAGTCACCTCTATCATTTGCCTATGAGACAATAATGAGGATATTAGACTAATCCTATTAGTTTGGATAAAGTTTTAAATCTGAGTGCAAACTAAAATTTAAAATGTCTTTCTACAAAGGAAAAAATAAAAGGATACATAAAAAACAATATTTTATTTACATGTTTTCAGCACAGAGTGTAAATAGAAGAAAGTGTCCAAAACAACTAAGTTTACATATGCAAATTAAACCTAAATAAATTAAAATATGAATGAGAGAGTTGGGTGGTAGGCAACTTATGCTCAGACAAATGTTTTCTCTTGGGACAACAGTTTATTGATTGCAGCATTTTGAATTCAGGGTAATATTTAAAAGAATAAGTTCACCTTTACACAAAAAAAAAATTGTACTTTGTGCAGGTAAAAAAAAAAAAAAAAAAAAAAAAAAAAAAAAACACAAAATGTGCATTTATCATTTTTGGTGTTAGGATCCTATTAAGCATTGTACCAGCCATCAGAAGATCACTGATGTCATGCAGGTCTCCTGCAGACTGTCAATGTATCTGCTTGCCTGTACATCCCATATGAGCAAGCCAATACTTCTGAAAAGAAGAATCAATGAACTACCACAGCGCAGTTGTAGTTCCTAGAGAACTAGAAGCTGATAGCCAATAAGGCTGTCAGGACCTATAGTCCATTCTTTCAGAGGACTGCTAATGGTGCGGCTGTATGGGCAGAGCCCCACAAGGCTGTGTGGTTTTTGAAAAGTGACAGCTAGTAGGGGGATTTCCTCCCTGTACTTCTGTAATAGGGAGAGGGGAGCAGTGGATGGTGGCTGTAGGATTGGGAACATGCTTCATGTCCCACCCTAAAAATGGGTGGAACGTGCAACATGTTCCCAAAAAGTGAACTTATCCTTTAAAGCAAATCACTTTATAAAATCTGTCCAAAAACAATTATAGAAGTAAGTGTATTCAAAAACCTAGTACCCTCAAGTTGGACTTGCAAGATGCAGGCATGCAGTAGGTAAACTTCATCTAGCCAAACTTTACTGAAGCAGAAATTCTTCAAAATTTAAATCTTCATGAATATTGGTCCTCTTAATAGATGCATATTATCTTTTCTCAAGATGCTTCTGTGCCCTCTCTTGCCCAATCACAGAGCACTGTGTGTTATGTGAACCCATTCACAGAATACAAAGCCTTCTGTGAATGGGCAGCAGAGGGGCAGACAGTGCTGTTGTGTGGAGAAGACAGTGTCTCACCTCTAAGAGCCCTGGAGTGTTTTCTCCCAAAGCTACCATAAAAATTTCAGATGTAAAATGGTAGAGAAAAGTCTTGAAGGTGGAATGCTTAGTATGCCTGCAATATTACAATGTGGCTGAATTCCTGGAGTTCAGCTTTACATTGATTTTTCAAGGAAAGCTGACTTCTTAAAACAGATGACAACTGTTTAAAATTCTGATGCTCATATTTAGGGCAAAACAATATACTTAATAGCAACAAGTTTACCACAATGGCCAGGTCATAAAATATCTTGGACACTCTTGCATATTCTGAAGTTTCAAGGTCAACTCCACCACCTGGCAAAAGAACCCTACAAAACAAAGGAAAGTGTTAAACTGTAAAGTCCTGTGATTTTGTTTAACATAACTCAGCACCAAATGCATGTCAACTGATTACCCATTTCTGAAAAAGTCTAATATAGGATTTTTGTACTTGCCTTAGAACCTGTGTTTTTTTTTTTGTTTTTTTTTTTTAAGTCCACTGAACATCACAGGAAGTCTTTCACCTTTTGGTTATACTGCCACCTACAGGAGGATTGGACACTGGCAAACAAATCAATTCTAGTCCAGCCCAACACAAGACCTCCCACTACCAGTATGCGTCACTTTCATAGTAACACTGTACTGAGAGAATTATCAAAAAAAAAAAAAAAAAAGTCCCGTGCCACTCCAAAGGACTGCAAAAAAAGATTTAGCACGAATACAAAAATCCAATTTCTCATTCACTGAGGAACACAGGCACTCTTTCACCTTTGACACTTCAAAAGTTGTCCAACAGAGAGGTGGGCAACACAGCTAACAATCACTAACAGGCCCATACTGAACAGAAAATACTAGGGGCTGTCTGTGCTCAATGGCCACCTGAAGGCATTGGGAACTAATGCTCGATGCCTGAAAAATCAAGAACACTCGCAACTAGTGAAGTGTGTTTTGACATAGAAAGGAGAATCCAATTTTAAAAGACAAAGCTCACATACCTGTTACCTCAACCACCAAGAAGGTGGAATTAGAAACTGAACCACCCTAGTATCCACCTGGGATGGTAAAAAAAAAAAAAAAAAAAAAAAAAAAAAAAAAAAGGATCTAGGCATCAACTCACCTGATCCCATCACGGGTCCAACTGAGATAGGGTTTCCATACACTGAATGCCCATCAGGTCAGACACTCATCTTGCAGAGGCAATGACTACCATAAAAGAACCCTGGAAGGGTGAACTAGAAAAGAAATACCTCCAATGAATCCAAGCAACGATTGCGGAGAGAGCAAAGATTTGACCTCATGGAGTCACAAAAGACAAATGGGGGAAGGTACATGGGGTTTCCCACACAAGGTCAAGCATGAAAGATTGCATAGTCTGCAAAGCAAACGAGGAAGTAGTGTTAAAAAGGAGAAAAGGCCTAGATTCCGGCATAAAGATCCATCCAGCACAGTTACTGCTATCACTAGAGGATTCCTTCACGTGGAGATAGACCTATTTAGCATCAGATTACTTACCAAGGAGATAATCCTGTGATGTAGAAAGAACAGCCTCCAGGATGTAGACCAGCAGTTGAGCATTCTCTGATGAGAGCCTCAGCATCATTAGAGAGCCACTGCCTCTTCCCCACTCCAACAGGAGGACTTCCAAAGACAGAACCTTCCAGAAGGTGGAAAGTGAAAATTGCTTGGCCTCAAAGCATTGCACTAATACTGTGATGTAATCTCTTCAATAAGCGTTTGGACCTTTGATTTCAGATCGAAGATGTCCAGACAACATATGTTCTGAGCTACGTGCTGACACTAGCCAACCTGTTAACAGTTGCTACAGCACCCTCTTTACCTCAGGCCTTCTCCAGGAACATGTGCGATAGGAAGTTATTGTGTGGGACAACGTCCTCGACTTGATAGCTGGTTGACTTGTCCAACATGCCAATAACTACTTGATCCTCAGGAACAGACAAGTCCATCTGCTCAAAACCTCAATCAACTTTTCTTACAACAACAGTGTGTAGTGCTAAATCAGTCTGAGAAGAGACTGGAGAACATGTACTTCCTCAAAGAAGCTTACCCACAGACTTATGATTCTCATGCAAACAGCTGAGAGACGACAGGCAACTACTGGACAGAAGAACAAGGACATGACAGTACATACAACGAAGAAACTTTGTGGTCTAAGCTGCCACAGGCAATGAAAGGATTCAAGCACTGACACGGTTTGGATATCTGGATAAAAAACAGACATTGTCAAACACAGGTCACGCTGTTTTTTCTCCTCAGAAGGTCGCAGAAGTAACCCACACTGACCAAAGTATATTAATTGACCATTGAAGCTAGAAAGTCCCTCTGGTAAAGAGAAGGAAAAGTAAATCATGTGGATGCCACCTTTGGGGTTTTTGGACATACAGCACCTAAAAGATGCAGATGTCCTGGTTAAGAGAAAGTACAGTGACGTGGTCAGAGTACAACTCCTGAGACCAATCTGACATAAAAGCTGGGACAAGAACACTTTGGTTCAAGGGGACACCAAAAATGGGCAGAAGTAGGGCTGCTAATCCATGCAGTGAAAGGATGGTTGAAGGGGAGGACCTGAACAAAGAGCTGAAGGTAAAGGAGTATCCCTGGAATAGCACTCTCTGCACTTAAGGACCTCAAAAAGACAAATGCTTCAAAAGTCTTCAAAAATTATCCAACGTCCCCGTTTTGAACAAGGAGTGTGCACCTTCGTGCTGATGAAGCATTTTCTGGTGTTATAGCAGGTTTCTAACTCGAGATGGGCGGCTGGTCATAGAACCAGGTTTGGAAAGGTTAGATGTGCATACTCTAGAAGAAAAAACTGCAAGTAAAAAACACCCACCTGCTTCATTGTCATACTTGACATTGATATAAAAAGGTCAGAAGAAACATTGTCCCTTGAGGATCATACAGGTCAGGTGCTCCTGCTCAACATGCTCCATCAGTGAAGGATCCACTGCCATGGTCCTCTAAATGAGTTTTACCATACTGCCATGGTTTGACAAAATTAAAATAACAGCCAGAAATTAACAAAAGACGGCCCATCTGCAAGAACTTTTAGAAAGGGTTTCCAACAATTTAATCGGTTAAGATGGGCAACTGATGGATCCATAGTGGGGATAGAATATGGTTTAATAAAATCTTCTAAAACATGAGCAAGTCTAGTAAGCATTTACTGGGTTTGTCAAGCAGTGTTATAAAGAAGTGTTTTGATTTATATCCAGCCTCCTAGGAGCTATCAAACCGCTGAGGCATGCTGGTAGTGGGAGGGGTTATTGTGAGCTGGCCTACAAATTTTTTTTTTGGCCAGTGTCCAATCCTCCTACAAGAGACACTATAGCCTGTTGGAAAAGACTATGACCCTCAATGGATAAGAAAAAAAAAAAAAAAAAAAAAAAAAAAAAAAAAAAGGGTTTTGCTTTAAGTATATCGGGTAGCTATTGCTATCTGCATTCGCACTGGGGAGACTCCTTTACTTCTTGCCATAGTGTCTGTGGTCAAAGACAATACTACCCACAACCCAATCCAAAAGCTAAAATAAGTAGTCCATAAGCAGAGATGTCTTCTCCAAGCCAAGCCATCCACAGAGCTGCTGTCTGCAGGGATTGGTCCTTGATTTGAAACTACTCATCAGCGATACATTTAGAAAGGAGAAAAAGACAGGTTCTGTTCTTTTTAAAATCTTACACAACTAAAAAGACTATTACAGCAATAGAAGTCTATTTTATCTCAGGAAGGGTTGCTGCATTTACATACCCATTTATTGTGTTGAACATCTTCACATATTCTTCCTTAGGCAAATCAATTCTAGAAAGCAAATGTATTTATTAAAATATCAAGCACAAACAGGTATTTGCCAACTTGAGATGTAGGTGTGTGTTAAGGTATGCATTTACATTGATCAGCCATAACATCAAGATAACGGAAAAGTAAAGTAGACATTGATTATCTTGTTACAATGGAATCTGAAAGTTGGTGGGATATATTAGGCAGCAAGTAAACATGTAGCCCCTAAAGTTGGTGTTGAAAGCAAAAAAAACATGGGCATCGCAGTTTGTTGTGAACATCAGAACTGGACCACGAAGCAATAGAAGGTGGCCTGTGCTAATGAATTATATTTTCTTTTACATCATGCTGGGCTGGGTGTGCATGTGTTTATCTGGGGAAGAGATGGCACCAGGATGCAGTATGGGAAGAAGGAAAGACAGCCGTGATAGTGTAAGGTTTTAGGAAATGTTCTGCTGGAAAACCTTGATCCTACCATTCATGTGGATGTCACTTTGACAAGCACCACCTACTTAAACATGATTTCTGACAAAGTACACCCCTTCATGGAAACTATATTCTCTAAAGGCAGTGGCCTCTTTCAGCAGGATAATGCACCCTGCAAAAATGGTTTGAGGAATACAAGTTCGAGGTGTTGACTTACATCAAGAGGGCGATTAAGGTTGAGGAGGGCAGTATCTGTTATATGAAGCCAAGATCAAGAACACAAGGACATGACTACTGAAAGTAGATGATGCTTGGAACAGAGCAGCAAAGGCAGTGAGTCAGTCCACAGTAAGTGGATTCAGACATGCTTGGGACAAACCTAGATCTATACTCCACAACAAAAAAAATAAATAAAAAAAAATTCTCCAGCTCTCAATCCAATTAAGCATCTGTGGGATGTGCTGTAATAAACGCGCACACACACACACACACACACACACACACACACACACACACACACACACACACACACACACACACACACACACACACACACACACACACACACACACACACACACACACACACACACACACACACACACACACACACAACCTGGCAAATGACAGGACTTAAAGGATCTGCTACTGATCCATCCAGAGGGGTGGTCATATTGTTATGGCTGATCAACATATATAACAATTTCAGACACATTAACAGGTTTTTGAAATGCTATGCAATAAGTATGATCAAATGACATAAAAAGGATAACAAGTAGTGTATAGTGGTTCGCACAAATTGTGCTGTTTATTATGGCCAGGACTAAAACAATTACAAAATATTATTACACATTTTCAGAAGCAGATGGACCTTGTTACAGTTTCTCCTTGTTTAAAAAAAAAAAAATCTAAATGAAAGTGAATAAAAACATAGAAAAACAACTGTTTTGTGTGTGTCCTATATTTATCCAGTGTGGTAAAACACAGGTCACATCACAAAGGCCTCATGCACACTGGACATTTTAAAGCTGCTTCTAGGGGTTCTGCTCCCCCCCCCCCCCCCCAACCCCAAACTCCCCTGCATGTTAGCCTATGTGTACATGCACACAAACGTTTAGAGACAAACGTTTAGAGGCAGGTGAAAAAACCCACTGCTGGGCGTCAAGGAGCTGCAGAGTTTTGGCAGAAAAACCGCTTGACACTTGTAACAGAACCTAAATGCCTATTACCTCTAGGCATTTATAGCTTGAACAAGAATTAATTTCAATGGCCAGAATAAATTATTTATTCTGGCCAATTGAATGAACGTCCAAGCACTTGATGCAGCTACACACGCTTGAAAGCGTTACACCCACTTTTAAAAGTGTCAGGCATTTTTTCTGCCAAAAGCTGCTGCCAGGAGGAAACTCTTCTAGGAAAATAAGGAAACCATCCTGTGTGCAGGAGGCCTAAGTGTGAACAGGGTCTTAATTAGATATACACTCACCGGTCACTTATTAGGTATACCTGTTGAATTGCTTGGTAACACAAATTGCTGGCAGCAACTCAATTCATTTAGGCATCTAGATGTGGTGAAGACAACTTGAAGTTCAAACACAGCATCAGAATGGGAAAAAAAAAAAAAAAGGATTTAAGTGACTTTGAATGCGGCATGGTTGCTGGTGCCAGATGGGCTAGTCTGAGTAGTTCAAAAACTGCTGATCTACTGGGATTTTCATGCACAACCATCTCTAGGGTTTACAGAGAATGGTTGAGTTAGGAAAAAAAAAAAAAAAAAAACTATCCAGTGAGTGGTGGTTGTGTGGATAAAACTGCCTTGTGGATGTCAGAGGTCAGAGGAGAATTGGCAGATTGGTTCGAGATGATAAAAAGGCAACAGTAACCCATATCAATATGGACCAAAATCTGAGGAATGTTGCCAACACCCTGTTGAAACTGTTCCATGAAGAATTAAGGCAGTTCTGAAGGAAAAAGCGGGTCAAACCCGCTACTAGCAAGGTGTACCTAATAAAGTGGCCGGTGAGTGTACATCTCTCGACATATTATGGGACAATTCATTATTCTGAACAATGCCACTTAACACTCATTTTATTCATTTTTTCAATCACAGCCTCCAACTTCTTTCATGTGGCTTTTCCAAACTTCCAGCAGGGAAGAGTGCATTCTGAATGTAAACAAGTCTCTGATTAGATTCCTTGGGACTACGTATCTCATCAGTCTTAATGCCACCACACATGCCTAACCCATCACGATGTTTTCTATTCCTCTAGCTGCCTGAGCATGTCCAGCATCGGCAACGGCAGTATGAATTATGCAAGTGCGTACATAAAGGGTGGCTGTAGTGGGGCTCCATATGAGCCTGCAAGCCAAGGAGCCACCCTTCCAATGGAAATTAGGGCCAGCAATCAAGATACACAGGATTTAAAATCAGCTCTGCAAGTCCTGCCAGAAATCTAGTGAGCTTCTTACTTCCGTAGTGAGCTGACAACACCTTTGGAAGTCAGCATGTGTTTTCTGCTGCTGCACTAAACACCAGCTCTTAGGTTACGAAAATGAAGAAAAAGATAGAGATGTTCTGTAGTTTGGAAGGGAGAACTAGACAGGGCTGACTTGGGAATTTCATTGCAGGTGAGACAGCAGTGCAGCCACCAAGCAGTGAAAGCCATCTATCATATTAAACAGAAGAATTTGTAGGGGATGGAGCCAAGTGGCAACCTTTCATAAATAAAAGTGCCAATTAGCTACTCCAGTGGTTACAGCAACTGGTACGTTGCTGACTGCTTTCGGGTATAGGGTATGCACATGTGCACCCCCCTTAATGCCTGCTGTGAATGTACACAGTGGGTGTCTGTCAGCAGGTTTTGCCAATGATTTATGGCCAGGAGCTGCTGATCAGCTTTGTACAATCACAACCCAGAGCCTGTACTGAAAATCAATACAGAGGGAATGATCTCTCGGTTTCTTAGGGATGATCCTTGATCGCCCTAGAGGTTAACCCTTCCCAGCCAGTGTCATTAGTACAGTGACAGTGTATAGTATCACATATAACTGTATTAGTGTCACTGGTGATGTCAGTGGCAGGTAGTCAGTTCCCCACCCCAGTTTCAGATTGCCCGCTGCACGATCTCAGTCCCAGTATAAGTCGCTGATCACCGCCATTAGTAGTAAAAGAAAACAATCCTATATATATATATATATTCCATAGTGTGTAGATGCTATAACTTTCATACAAACCAATTAATATACACTTATTGGGATATTTTTTTTTTCATTGTAAACCAAAAGACACGTAGCAGAATACATTTTGGACAAAATTTATGAACAAATGCGATTTTTGTATAGGTTATGTTTTATAGCAGAAAGTAAAAAAAGTTTTTTCCAAAATGTGTGGTCTGTTTATATTGCAAAAAAAAAAAAAAAAAATAGAAATTTAAATTTGCATGACCACGCTATAGTCAGTTAAAGTAGTGCACTACCGAATAGCAAAAAAATGGCCTGGTCAAGATGGGGCTAAAACCTCCTGGACCTCAAGTGGTTAAAAAGAGCGTCCTGGGTTTTAGGTGTACAACAAGCAAGAGGCAAAAATGTAGGCACCTCTGGTTAGCTGCATTTAATCTACATTACCAGATTTGGCATCTAACATTAGCCATGTGTATAAAAAGGTGTGTTTGTTGTTAGTGATCACCTTATAGGAATGACTCTGGCTCCAGCCGATTCTAGATACTTTATGTAAGAAGCAGCGATGTACGACTGCCCAAATGGCTTCAGGTTTTCAAAGTGGGTCTCCTGTGCCACTATTCCTGTAAAAGAAAGAAATCAATGTGAGAAAAATTAACACAAACGGTTTTAAAAAGCAAATCCATCCATGCGCATTTAACATTTTCATGTAGTCATTCCAGGATGAGAGAGCACTGAACAATTCTTGGTGGCTGACAATGCCTAAAGCCAAAATTCTGGGATTTTTTTTTATTTTTGCCCGTGGAGTGGGTCTATGCCCGCACTGCACGGGTTAACTGCTTTCATTCTAGAAGAGAGGACACCAAAGATATATTTACTTGAAGTGCCAATCCTCCCAGCACAAAACCAGACCTTTCAGCCCCTGCCTTCCCCTCCGCAGTGCAGAGGTCCTGTAAGTGGACTGTTCCTGAGGTCAGCACGCTCAATGCACGTTCCATAGACAGAACAGTTTACTGCTGGACCGGGGGGAGCGCTTTATTTCACAAAAGCTAGCCAACCAAGATAAAATACTTATTTTCATAAAAGTGACATTTATGTTCAATAGAATTTGAAAACTACAGTCCCATGGTTAAAATAAAGAAATAGTTATTCTTGTGTTGAAGCTTTGTGAATCTAGCCTAATGTGTCGACAGCAACTTGGACCTCTTCACACACTGTAGTCTCTACATCTCAGAGCATGCTACATGAAACATCTAGTACAAAAACAGTTACGTGGGCAAAGACAACTTCATGCAATCACTGCAACAGCTGAGTGCAGAATGGCACCTCTTTAAAAGAAGAAGTTTGAGTATTAAAAAAAAAAAAAAAAAAAAAAAAAAAAAAAAAAAAAGGGAAGGGCTTTATGGAGTCCCAAACGGTTAATATTTTTAACATTGCACTGTTTATCTCCTCCTCCCCTCCCTGCCTGTCTCCAGCACTGCACCCAGGGACTAGAAAGGAGGGGAAAGACCTTGCAGTGTGATGAGCACAGATTGGCTGCTCATCAGGAACGGGGAGTGTCGGGGGGGGCTTATCCTTCATTCCATTTGCTGCCAGAGCCGTTTTTGCTTCTTTTTTTTTTTCCCTTTCTTCCCACAAGTTTAAAAAAAAAAAAAAAAAAAAACACACACTTTAGGCTTGAAGATTACACAAACCCCCAAACATTATATATTTTCTGAAAGCAAAGACCCTAGATAATAAAAATAGTGAAAGTTCCAATTTTTAATATTGCATGATATTACTGCAAAATTTCTGTAAAAATACACTTAGGGTAATTTATTGCTTTTTTGTGCCCTAAAATTAACTTTAAAGACGAGGTTGCACAAAGGAAATAGATATCCAACATATGAAACCTTAAATTTGCGTGCACTTGTGAGATGGCGGCGAACTTCAAGACCCTATATTTTCTATAGGTGACACATTTACAGCCCCTTAGAGGTCATCAGTATAGTGTTACGGAGGATGTCTCGTGCTAATCAACATTTCCATGCATAGGCGCTCCAGCGTGTGCTTCTACGTTTGTACATGTGGAGGTGGGGGGCTTAGAATGTTGTTTTTTTTTTTTTGAGGGGATGTTGTTATGTGCTTGGCTGTAACTTGAATTTTTTTACATTTTTTTTTTTTTTTTTTTTAACTTAAAAAAGTCCCCTATGTGATGATTTTTGGTGACAGGTTATCTTTATTGAGACATCAAAAGGTCTAAAAGACCCTGGATGTCTGCCCTGTGTTCCACTGAAGGTAATGCAGTGCACATCACACTGCATTAAATTATATGGCCAGGATATCGAGGACTGAGAAATCTGTCAACGGGGACCCAGAAACGATATCATAACATCACTTCTGGGTCAGGACAAGAAGGGGAAGGGAGCGGACGTGTCTGCTCTTCTCCGCTCTAGCCAGCAGGACAAGCTGAACCTTTCCCGGGCCCGTAGATGGGCAAGCGGAGCCCGGGAGACATAGCAGGTGGGGGGAGGCTGGCATTGTGGGCAGTGTGAAAGCAATCAGACAGCAGTGTGGCCACCCGAAAGTTTTCACCAGACAGGTGAGCCCTGCTGCTTTCCCGCAGCAGTGCTAAAAAGGTTAACAAAAAAAACAAAACCAAAAAAAAAAAAAAAACAAACACACCCCACACACACGACCTGCCCAGCACCCAGAACTATATTTCCCGGGCGTCCGGTGACAAATTCTTATTCAACATCCCTGTAAAAGCAGCCTAGTGTGTTACTGCAGAGCAAACTGTGAATGTCCCCTTGAGGGCTTCATTTTAGTATACTGCTAAATAAAGGAAGCCGTAAGCAGGGATATTTAATTCCTATCACCTGACGCCCAGGACATGCAGCTCCAGGCAAGAAGTTTTGTTCTGCATTTATCCCTGCTGCGGGCTACTCCGGCACTGACAGAAGCTGAAGACAGAAGCCTGGCTGCTAGTCCGGCAGCGCAAAACTCACTGCTCTGCACATGACAGCACAGGAGAGGGCGGGGGAGTGGCATTTCCTTCACTGCAGTTGCCATTCTGAAGCGAGAACACAGTACAGGGACTCCTATCTCCTATCAAACATCCCTAATGTATCCTGTTACAGCCTGTCCTCGCCCGCTCTCTACTGCACATAATCTCCTGCAATGAAAAGCCAGAACTGAGAGTTGTGCTCCTCTTTCCACAAGAAGAAGTGCATACATACTATCCTGACATCTTCCTATTGGCTGTCAGTCCCAGGACGCTGAGCAGCCTCCAATCGCTGCTCCTCTGCTGTTCCTGGAATGGGTGTGCTGCTGTACCCCACCTGTAATGGATATCTCTCTCCACTAATTCCCAATGTCCCCATCTCCTACTTATCCCAAGTGTCCCCTGCTCCTCCACTTATCCCCAATGTTCTTCCTCTCCCTCAACTAATTCCCAATGTACTCACATTTTGCTGCCAGCGGTTTAGACATTAATGGCTGTGTGTTGAGTTATTTTGAGGGGACAGCAAATTTACACTGTTATACAAGCTGTACACTCACTACTTTACATTGTAGCAAAGTGTCATTTCTTCAGTGTTGTCACATGAAAAGTTAAAATATTTACAAAAATGTGAGGAGTGGACTGACATACACACACACACACACACACACACACACACACACACACACACACACACACACACACACACACACACACACACACACACACACATATATACACACACACACACACACACATATACACACACACACACACACACATATATACACACACACACACTGCCAAGAAGTATTGGGACACCCCTCCAAATCATTGGATTCCAATCACCTCCATGGCCACAGGTGTATAAAATCAAGCACCTAGGCATGCAGACTGCTTCTACAAACATTCCTGAAAGAATGGGTCGCTCTCAGGAGCTCAGTGAATTAAAGCGTGGTACAGTGATAGGTTGTCACTTATATTTTTTTTTCTTTTGAGTTATTTTCCTGCTTTAAAGCCCATGCTTTAAGTTGCTTATGTACAACTTTACATTCCTTCGATTTTCACCATTTTGCAGAAAGAATTTACAAATCTTTGTATTACGTAATACAGTTATGATTTTAGCACTTTTTTTTTTTGGTAAACATTTGCACAACTACCATGGGGCATACAAAATCAGCAGAACCATCTTAATCCTATAGGCCTTGCAATGTAGAATGAAAACCAGTGAAAAATAGCAAAAAAATGAATGGGCACCTGAGGTGACAAATGGGGGGCAGGGTCTGGCAGTGAAAGTGTTACAGTGTGTTTGTGTAATATATATATATATATATATATATATATATATATATATAGTATGACTGTGAAACAGGACATATTACACCAATGATTCAGGATTACATTAGCCTTTCTCAAACAAGGTTTTTCCAACAGCTTGGAAGGAAGTTATGCGAAGGCGTGTAAACCATGGAAAAACAAACACGTCGCTGTTGACCCATAATGTAATGTAACGTCAGCAAACTTATGGTGAATCCAGATAATTGAATTACCAATGTATTGGGAATCAGAGAAGGAGACTTGCAGATATGGAAAGACAGACTTATTTTTTACAAAATATATTAAGTGTTCACTTTCATTTGCCTTGTGACAGCTGCTTATGATCACTTCCACAAAGGTAAAAAGAGCTCGTTTGTGATCACATCATACTCACAAAGTCATTGATACGCAGAGATCAGAGGGACAGTTGTATGCAATTCTCGTCTGATTACATGCAGATTTTGTTAGTACAGGTCCATGAAAGGAGAGACTGTTGGACATATTTTTACCAACAATTAGCCTTCATATATCAAGTGTCCAAATTCCGATATAAAATGCCTACTGAAGGAAAGGTTATTCTCATAACTGCATTAGTAAGACTATGGGGTCATCATTCGATTCCCTTTATGTCCCAAGTTCAGGAGGACCAGCAAACAATAAAGTCATTCAGAATTCATTATGGATATCCACAACTAAACCTGTGAATGAAGCAAGTTATACAAAAATTTACGCCACCGAGTTGGACTGGTGTATAACCATCATTAAAGTCTAAGGCTATGCGTACGTTCGTTAATGATCTGTAGGCAAATTGCACTGTCCTTTAGATCTTAATTATACCCCCACACATCGGCAAAAATGCCACCATTTTTGCATGCAAAACCACATGAACGAAAGGAAAAAAAAAAAAAAAAAAAAAAAAGAAGAAGAAGAAGGGGGGGGGGGGGGGTTTGGGACTTCTTTACCCGCATTTCTGCAGATAGAGAAGCCCATTGAAATGAAAATACTGCCCTACCCACAGAATGCAAGTCACACTGCTGTAAATAGAGCCTTAGTATCAGGAACAAAATATTTCTAGCTGTTCAAGCTATCGTCTGAATTACAAAAGACATCCACTCCAGATTTCATTTTATGTAGACTAGAGGTTATCTGTGAACCAGCCCAAAGACCGATAAGAAGCTAGCTGAAGAAGGCGATGTAAACATTTAAAAATGGCAGCACAAACGTGGGGAAGACAGAGCCATGGGATCTTTTTACATTACGAAGGCCAATAAGTATCTTATTCTGTATGTGTTTGCTATATTATCCCTATGGAGATGGCAGTTAATA